GGGCTTCGGAGCTGCGGGGGCGTCTGCGCCGGGGCTGCCGTGGCCTGCGGGGGACACGGGTCAGCACCGGGAACAGCACCGGGGGCAGCACCGGGCTGGGGCTGGGGCTGGGGGAATTGCAGGATGTATGGGATGGTGGCACAAGGCTCAGCACTGAGCTGGCAGAGGAATGGGGTCCCAGCGGCTGCAGGGGTGGCATGGGGGAGCACAGTGCCAGGACAGGGCTCAAGTATGTAGGGATGGCATGGCATGGGGCACTGTGCCAGGACAGGGTGGGGAAGGGGCTCAAGGTGCCACAGGAATGGCACCAGGGGCTCAGCGCTGAGCTGGGACAGGGTCCAAGGGGTCAGCAAGGCAGAGCTCAGCAGTGGGACAGGACAGGGCCACAGTGTACGAGGGGGCCATAGGGATGGCACAGCTGGGACTCATCAACAAGCTGGAGCAGAGGTGGGTTACAGTGGCCATGGAGACCCCAGGAGAGGGCTCCATATCAAGCCAGGAGGAGGACAGGGTCGAAGGGGCCACAGGGATAGCACAGGACAGCTCAGTGCCAAGCCAGGGTAGGAAAGGAGGATCCTGGGAGAAGGCTCAGTGTCAGGACAGGGTCCAAGGGGCCATGGGAAGGTGGGCTGGGGCCCTGAGGGGCCGCAGTGGCGTACCCCTGGCCCGGGCGGGGGGCTCCTCGTCCCGGTCGCGGGGCGGCGGGGGGCTCTCGGGCCGGCAGCAGCGCGGGATGAGGGACAGGAACTTGGCCGCTGTCTTGCCGTAGATGTCCAGGTCCCGCACCGCCCGCTTCTGGCTCAGCATCACGTGGCTGCAGGGCAGCAGGTACCTGCGGGCAGGGTGGCACAGGGCAGCTGCAGGGGACACACGGACACAGGGACCCTCCACAGGACCCCAGCCCCTTCACAGTGGGGCAGATGATGTGGCTGCCTCACATCCACACGCCCACCGGGGAGCAACTCCCCAGGCCCACCCCAGAGGAGCCCCAGAGCGGGCCAGCAGCAGGTGACCCCCGGTGGCCTCACCTGAGCACCAGCTGCAGCATCACATCCTCGCAGTTGAGGCTGAGCAGGGTCTGGAAGAGGCTCAGGGACACCATGCACAGCTGGGGACAGGGCAGGGCGTCAGAGGGGCAGTGGAGCGGGCAGTGCCACCCAGCCCATGGCAGAACAGGGGATGGGAATGGGACGGGACAAAGATGGGGACACTGGGGAAGGGATACAGATGAGGACGGGGACGTGGGGGGCGCGGGGCTCACCCGGGAGTTGCTGTTGATGCGGCCCACCAGCGTGTCCAGGATGGTGGTGTTGTCGTGCCGGTGCAGCAGCACGAAGCGCAGGAAGGTTTTCAGCAGCGCTGTCTCACTGACGCTGCGCAGGAACAGGTCCAGGTAGGCCGTGCTCGCAATCATCTCCTCCACCGAGGTCTGCAGCAGGGGCACGTGCAGCTGGGGCCGCAGGGACGGGCGCCACGGGGCCCTGCCCACCCGCACGGGCGGAGACCCCCCTCCCACACTGCTGCCAGCTCCCTCACCTTGTGCAGCGCTGGCCCCATGACGGGCACGAGGAACCCGTTGTGGACGTAATCCACCAACTGCTTCTGCACCAGTGGGTGGGCGACCTGAGGGGCCGCAGGGGGGTCAGGCAGCCTCCTATGGGGCTGGGAGTCCCTCTCAGCAGCCCCCCAGCCCCACCTGGATGACGGCATTGCAGAACTCCAGCGAGTTCATGAAGAGGACGAGGGAGGAGACGCCGATCCAGTCCTCGCGCCGCAGGAAGTGCCAGTCATCTCCTCGCACCTCGATCTTGCGGGGCAGCGAGGAGTACAGGGCGCTCAGGCCCGTGGCCAGCACCTGGGAACACATGTACTCGGCTGCCCCGCAGCCCCTCGCACCTCGGGCTGCTGCACGCAACCGGCCTTCCCCAAACCCCTGCAACCTGCCCCCACAAACCTGCCCCGCTCCAGGCAGGGCAGCTGGGCTGGGCCCTGCCCACCACTGACCCCAGGGAGTGGCCCCCGCATCCCCAGCCCAGCACTGGGCCCTCCAACATCTCCAAGCCTCCCATCACCACCAAGTCCTCCTATCATCTCCAAGCACCCCGTTCCCAGGCCCCTCATCATCCCCAGGCTCCTTGGAGGCTACTTGTCACCTCCAAGTCCCTCATCACTTGTGGACCTTCCATCAGCCCCAGATCCACCATCATCTCCAAGCTCTCTATACCGAAGCTCTCCATCATTTGCAAGCTCTCCATCGCCCAGCTTCCATCATTCCCAAGCCCCCATAATCCCCAGCCCTGTCCCCCACCATTTCCCTCTGGGCCTGTCCGTGGCTCTTGCCCCAGCTGGCCCAGCTCTGCCAGCAGTGCAGGGTCCCAGCACGGTCCCGGGGAGGGGACACCACCCTGGGGAGGGGAGCGCTGCCCCGAGGAGGGGACGCGTACCGGGCAGAAGTAGGAGTTGTCGGTGATGGACTGGGCCACGGCGCGGTTGCTGGCCGACATGGCCATGATGAGCAGCAGCGCGTCCCGTGCCTGCTGGCCCCGCGCGCCCTCGTGGTGGATGAAGGGGATCAGGAGCGAGAAGATGATGAGGTTGGCGGGGCCCTGGTCCGTGTGGCTGTGGAAGAAGAGCTCCAGGATGGCCGGCTCGCGCGCCACGGAGACGCAGAGCTGGTTGAGCAGCAGCACCAGGCTGTTCTCCAGCGGGGCCGAGGCGGGCTCGGCGCACACGCTCAGCAGGCGCAGCAGCGGCGTCAGCACCGGCTTGTGCCGCAGCAGGGGCTGCCGGGCCTGGCTGATCAGCATCTCGTACAGCTTCAGCTGCTCCACCTGCACACGGGGACACGGCGGGAAAGGTACTGAGACCACCCGGCCCTGCTGTTCCTCCAGCACACTCAAACATGTCCCCAGGTGCCACATCCACATGGCTGTGAAATCCCCCCAGGGCTGGGGATTCCAGCACTGCCCTGAGCCATCTGTGACAGGGCTGGAGGAAATTCCTCCCATGAGGAATTTCCTCCAGCATCACAGAGTTTTCAGGATGGCTCCAGTAGTCTCAGTCCCAATCCAACCAGTGCCCTGCCCTTGGCCTGGCTGACCCTTGAGCCAGCATGTTCACCCTTCGGATGCAGCCTGTGCCAACCTCCCCACAAACCGCCCAGCACTGCAGACCCCTCTGCTCCCCTCACTCAGACCTTCCTCTCCTCGGTGAAGTCGCCCTGCAGATGCCAGCACAGGAGCCGCTCCAGCAGGTTCTCAGCAGCCACAAACTCCAGGATGGGCCCGCAGGCCATGTCCCCGTCCCCCTGTGACCTGTCCTTGTCCCCGTCGCCCCAGGGCCGGTCCTCAGCCAGCAGGTTCAGCATCTGGTAGGTGTTGTTGCGGACGGCGCTGAGGTCATCGGGGGCCGGTTTGCTCCCGCGCCGCTCCAGGATCCGCAGCACCTGTGGCAGGGGGCCTGGCAGTGAGGGCTGGGGGCTGCAGGGTGGGGGGATCCTCGCTGCCCCCAGCCCCGCTCACCTGTGCCCAGTGGTTCTTGAAGACCATGAGGCAGGTCTCGGGGTCAGCGGTGACGGGGGGCTGCAGGCTGGCGCTGCGGGGGGCTCGCTGCCCGCCCGCCCGAGGGGTCAGCTTGCTCAGCCAGCTCATCCTCTCCATGGGCACGGGGTCACACGCAGCTCCGGGGCAGCCCAGCCGGGCTGGACGCGGCCTGGCACCACCGTGGGGGCACAGCGGAGCGGGCGGGGTGCCAGGGTCCTCTCTCCATGCTGCTGCCAGCGGGCTGCAGCGAGAGGGGCCGTCAGAGAGCCCAGCCCCACCTCACGGCCAGCAGCAGGCAGGGAGGCAGAAGGGGAAGGAGGAGGGAAGCCAGGAAGGAAGAAAGTCAGGAGGAAAGGAAGGCAATCGAGAGGAAAGGCAGGCAGGAGAGACAGCAGTGGGAACTGGGCTGGGCAAGCCTGCTGGGGCAGTGGTGGCTGGAGGACTCTGGATCCCGGCCCTGCTCACACGCAGGACTGGACTTTAAACCAGGAACTGGCCCAGCATGGGCGTGGGGAGCACCCAGCAGCCACAGGGACACCAGGACAGCTGGGACAGCTGCCCACCCCCGTGCTCAGCAGCACCCACGGCCGGCGCTGCCAGGATATTTATAGTGCCCCGTGCCCCAGCAGCACCACTGCCACCAGCACGGCACTGAGCACCGAGGCCCCGGAGCTGGCACCGGCGTGCCTGGGGTGGAGAGACACCGCAGGGGCCCCCAGTCCCCCCCCAGCACGTGGGGAGGGCAGTGGCTTTGAGAGCCAGTGCCACAGCCCTTGCATGGCGCCTGGGGAAGTGAAAGTGCCATTAAAGCCACGCCAAACCACAGGGGCAGGAAGGGAAAGTGGCTGAAGCTGGGGCAGTGGGACACGGCACTGTCTATTTATACCCGGCTCAGCCCGTCCCACCCACAGCCAGCGCTCGTGTGGCTGCTAAAGTTAGAGCCACTGCATGCCAGGGCACTGCCAGCCCTGTCACCCAGCACGGCGGCCCCAGCAGGAACGCGGAGCCAAAGGCCTCAGTGTGGCACACTGGGGTGTCCCCATGCAGGGACCTGTGTGACACACGGCCAGAGCCATGCTGGTGGGACAGGGACACCAGCTGTCACCACTTCTCTCCTGGTACCAGTGCCCCTCACCCCAGCCTGGCTGTGCCTGTCACATACCAAAGGACCCAGCCACTGGGGCACAGCACGGGGCTGTGGCACCACCCCAGTGTCACCCCGGTGTCACCCCAGTGTCACCCCGTGTCACCCGGACGGGCTGTGGTGGGGCAGCACCCTCCACCCGGGCAGCAAGTAGCCAGAGACTGGGGGGTGATCAGGTGCCACCAGACCAGGGAAAGGCAGGCAGGGACACCGAGGGCACAGGGACACCCGGTGCCACCAGGGCAGGGACAGGGACACCGGGGCACGGCCACCATGGGTGGAGGACAGCACCCGGGGCCAGGAGGTCGTGGGTGATGAGCACCGGCCCCTCCGATGCACCCGGGAACCGAAGCACCGTGCGGGGGTCACCGAGGGGCCGCCAGGGCTGTCACCGGGTGAGGCGGGGGCTGCCCAGCCCGGGGTGCCCGCCGCGCCGGGGCCGCGGTCCCCGGCCCGCGGAAGGCGCTGCTCGCTTGGGCATCCTCGGTCCCGGGGGCACCGGCACCGGGACGCCCTGCGGCTCGGGGGTCACGCGGGGCCGGGCCGCCTACCTGGGTCAAGGTCGCGGCGGTCCCGTCCCGTCAGCGCCGCACCTGCGGAGGGCACGGGAGGCGTCGGGCGGGGGCCGGGACCCCGCGACCCATGTGCCAGG